GCAGCTGAGCGCTTAACCACGGCGTCACCAGGGCTCCTTGAATATCATATACCAAAAAAAGAAAACCAAACTCATTGCTGTCAAGTCAATTCCGACTCATAGCGACCCTATAAAACAGAGTAGAACTGCCCTGTAGGGTTTCCAAGGAGCAGCTGGTGGATTTGAACTACCGACCTTTTGGTTAGCAGCCAAATGCTCACACACTGGTGCCACCAGGGCTCCTGAATATCATATAGAAGCCCATTATACAACAGATCAAGGCTCAGCTGCTAGGGTTAAAGTAGGGGGAGGGTGTGAAGGCTGTCCTAGAAGCATCTCCCAGAACCCTGGGGCTCAAGGAGCATGATTTGCAAACCTTGGGCAGTGGGGACAGGGAGAACAGGGGAGACAGTCTAGGCCTGGCCAGGGCTGGGAGGCCCAGCTCAGACTTGCCATGTGACCTTGGGTGACCTGAGGCTGCCCTTCCACATAGTCAGGGGTCACCATGGGTGGTCTCTGAGGTCAGTTCCAGCCCTGGTGGCCTTGGGAGAGGTGTCGGGGAAACGGAGGGCAGCAGAGAGCTGCTCAAGGCCCAGGCAGGGAAATGATTAACCAGCTGGCTGCTCACTCCCAGCTGCTCTCAGATCCACCCCTCACCCCCCGCAGACAGGCCCAGCCCAGTCTCGCCTGCCACCAGGCCTGCCCAGGGGGGAAAGGACAAGGCCACTGACCTCGCACCCAGCCAGCCAGCTCACCACTGCCCCCATCCCAGGCTGGAGCATCTGAATTTTTACTTCATGCCTAGAATGGACTGCAGGCCGGCCCTCAGCTCCCACCCACCTCCTACCTCCCCTCCACGCTAGGCTCTGGTTGGGGCCACACGCGTCACCCCCTCAGCACAGTCCTCCCAGCCTGGGAGGCTCGGTCGACAGTGACTCACGCCCTCTCCTGCCTGCCAGCTGAGGCTTGTTGTTCACGCAGGGAGCGGAGAGGGAGCTTTCCTCGGTTCCAGGTGCCTCATCAGGGTGACTGCTGGCAGCAGCTATGTCTGCCCACAGGTCCGTGAGGGCTGGGGCTGGGCAGGGAAGGCAGGCCATGAGCTCCTGCGGCAGGCTTCCCTGGCACCCTACCCTGGACATCCCGTGGGAACTCGGCCCCACCCTGCAGCCACCTGAGACCAGGTCCAGCTGAGCAGTGGACAAGCAAAGACCAGACCCTGCTCCCATATGAAAAGTTCCAGTGCCCCAGCTGCCCACCACACACACCACACACTCACCCGCTACATATCCAGGCATGCTCTCAGACACAAAATCACATCTATCCCACCAGACCGTGAGCTTCAGAGGAAGTGGTGTCTGGTTTGTATTTTTAGCCCAATGCACAGTACTGAAGTCTTCAATAAACATTTAAACTGAATATACTTGGACTCCCAAGCCCCAAACTCAGCAACATAAGATGCCACTACCCGCACAGCCATCTTTTCACTACAAAGGCCATAAACATGCCAGCCCACACGTACACCCACACATATGTATAGTAAGCATGTACGTTTATAGGCACAGGTATGTCCACACCTAGAAGCAAGATAGTCCCACATCCACCCACATGCACACTGACCCACATGCAGAGTCCAAGTCCTTGGCCTCCAGCGGCACCCTCAGCACAGACCTTGCCTGGGGTGTGTCTGGCCTCAGCGGCATCCTGGACTCCTTTGGCAGAGCACTGGGCTCCCTCAGTTCTTGGGCTTACCTCTTCCCCTCTCCAGACCCCATGGGCCCCTCTGCACTGGGGTTAGCGGGCAACTGTGCTTCAGAGTTGTGTGACGTATTAAGATGTGAGGAGACAAGTTCCCCAGCCCTGGGGGGGTGAGCTGTGGGATGGCTGAGTCTGAGGTCCTGGAGAAGCTCTGGACCCCTTCAGGGTAGGAAAGGGGAGAATGAGATCCCAGAGCGTAGGGAAATGTATGAGAGACTCCTAGATGAGGAAAGCCTGTGGTACCCACATGCTGGAGGATGCTGGTCTGCACCTGCAGAGACAGCCTTAACCTCCGGAAAGGCGTCAATACCCAGAGGCCCACCTGGCAGGAGGCCCTGAGGCCAATTTCCACCTGGCTAGAGTCTAAGGGATGGGAGCGGGGCTCTGGCCCTGGGCTATTACCTGAGCATCAGTTTCCTTAGGGGCAAAGTGTGCGTGAGAGGTGCTGTCCAGGGGGAGATGAGGAGGTGCAGACGCTCATCTGAGCACTTCTGGAGAGAGGCAACAGGTAGCCCCAAGAGTAATGCCCAGGAGTCACCACCCATGATGAGAGGGCTGCTGGACCCCAAACCCCCTCCCCAGGCTTCTCTGATCCTGACAGGATGTGGAACAGACAAGGATAAGATACCCAGCCCCTGACTGTTTGGGGGAGCAGCCCCGAGTGAGCTGCTGGTAAAGACTGCAGCACAGAGGGGGTCAGCAACTGTCTCCAGGTCACCCAGCCCAAGCAGCCGCCACCCCAAAATGCCTTCTCAGAACTTGAGCCTCCCTCGCTAGAAGGGGGTTTTGTTTCTCTCTGGTCCCATTCACTGGTCGTTGTTCTGCTGACCCTCCAAGAGGGCACTGCCCCTACTCCCCAAAAGGTGCTGAAGGACTCCTCCCCAGGGGTGACCCTATGACATCTATCAGAAAAATGGGCGCAGTGAGTGAGACTTCTCTCTGAAAAGGAGGCTTAGCGGTAACTCCTAAACGTCTCCCCAAACCCTCGAAATGTTCGTTTCCCCCACAATGGGTCATACCTGGGGGCTCTCCATGCTGGGGACCAGCCTTCCCCAGACACCCCGTTTGGGACCTCAGCCCCCAAGAAGAGGAAAGGAAGCTATGGAGGGACAAGAACACCCATCCTGTCACCCGAGGGGGCCCGAGTTTGGCATCAATTCTGTCCCCTCTGAGGAGAGGCAAGAGGCGGGTCCGGCTTCAATGCCAGGGTCCCCGGGCGGAAGAAGGCCGGGCACCCTGGGGCAGGAGAACCAACGGTGCGCCGCTGACCCCGCTCCCCCCGGCCGCGGCCGGCTCACCTGGACAGTGCGGACCAGTCTTTTCTGCAGACAGACATGCTGCTGGAGTCCCTGTGGCCCGCTGTGTGCGTCGCGCTCCTCCTCGGGCCGTGCCGCCACCTCACCTGCGCGCCCCTCCTCCGCGCTCGCCCGCCCTGCCCGGCCCAGGTAGGATCACATGGCCGCTTATCTCAGCCCCGCGTGCGCCCGGCGCCGCAGCGCTGCGATTTGTCGACCCGGGAGCGGCCTCTGGGGTGTGGGCGTCACAGACAAAGCCGCGCTGATCTCCGCCCCGGCCGGCTGGGCCGTGCTTCCGAGAGCGCCGGGGAGACGGCCGGAGGGCTGCGGACGGACCGACGGATGCCCGGACGGCGCCCAGGCTGATCGGCTGCCCGGGGGCAGGGCGGGAGACTTCCTGCTCAGAACCAGTCGGACCAGCTTGGCGCTGGGCCGCCTCCTCTCGCAGGTGTCCCTGCCCGGGGTGCCGCGGTGCGGTGCGGGGGGGCAGGGGCCCGAAGATTGGGGTCAGGCTGAGCTCACGGCTGGTAAACCGAGTTAGCCCGGAGAAACCCAACAGCAGGAAACCGAGTGGAAAAGTTAGAGCAAGTACCGTAATCTCAGGTCTAGAGCGCACAGCGCTTCGGTCTGTTTCCAGGGAGGGCCCTACCCGCTCCCGGGCTTCAGAACCTTCCAGCCCGCAACGCGCCCATGCGCACCCGGGCCCACCGCCCACAATAGGCCCTGCAGAGGTGAGCAGAGCGTTGCTTTCTCGGTGATGCGTACACATAATAAAGCCAGCCCCTCCCAAATGAGAACCTTCAACGCAATTCAGCAAACATTTGAGTGCTCACAACCCTGAAAACCAAGATGTTATAGTCACTGTCCTTGCTCGCAGAGTCTATAGTAGGTTTCTTCTCTGATACTGGACTTTGGGCTGGGGGGGCAGGGTGTGTCACAGGGCAGAGGAAGCTCAGCGTTTCTGAGAAGGAAAAAGTGAACACAGATAACTGGGACCGGAATTTTGGAGCAACTTGAGGCAGCTTAGGCAGCACCACCAGGCTCCCTGTAAGTGCCCATCTTGGCTAGTGCAGTGCCAGGTGCTTCCTACCCAGGAACCAGGCTCAGGTGGGCAGCGGGTGGGTTAGGTGCTGAACATGGGGAGTCTTCCCCGATGGATCAGAAGTGCAAGGCCAGCAGGCACCAGGATGAGAAGATGGACAGGAGCCGCAACTGTAAGAGGTCTGCTGGGCCCTGCTCCCCTTCCTTGGCCTCCTTTCAGCCCTGCTGCAGGGATAATGGTCTCTACACTGCCCTCCACTCTGAGATGTCACAGTGAAAATCAAGCCAGCTGCTGAGCAGAACCTGGAAACACACACACATAGCCAGTTTGCTAAGGTATCTCCTTCCCAAATCGCCCCCTCCTCCAGGGCACCTTCCTTCTTGGCATAGAAGGAGAGCTGTGAGGAGTGAGGTTCAGGGAGTGAGTGATGGACTGAGAGCCTGGAGATGGACTTTGAGCTCTATGCTGCCATTTGTCAGCTCTGTGACTTGGGGCAAATCGCCTCAGTTTTCCCATCTATGGAGTGGGAGTAATGATGCCTTGTCCTGCTTCCTTCAAGTTGTAGGAATCAAGTTCTCTCACTGCCCGTGGTGCTTGAGTGAGCAGCACAAGAGTTGTCAAGGCCCTGGAAAATTCTGAGCAGAGGCCAAGGCAGGATCCTGAGCCCTTTGCTCTTTCAGAGAAAGAGAAAGATGACAAAAGTCTAAGTTCCTAGATACTCTGATCAGGGGTGTGACACATCCCAGGGAGCCTGCTGAATGTTCACATACCCTGGGGACCTAGTGATTGTTCTTCTATGCTTGGTCAGTGGTGGCACCTCAGTATAGGAAGAAAACCACTCCTAGTCATTCAATACCTGGCTTTGCAAGGGCCGCTTCATGCTTTCTGTCCAGGAACCAGCGTCAGGTGGGTTAAGGGAGGGTCAGGTATCTAAAAGCCCCAAACATCTATGGTAAATTCCCAAAGATGGGAGAGTTGGTATGCAGACAACTCTAGAAGGAAGGAAGAGTAGATTATGTACATATTAGCATCCACAAAGTTCCTTGGAGGCAGGCACTGTATATTACTAGATGCTTTCTATGTGCCAGGCACTGTGCTGGGTGCTGGATTAGCAACTAACTTGGGCATTCAATAACACAAAGATGACCAGGACCTGGTTCCTGACTGCAAGACGTTCAGAGTCTAACCATGGAGAGACACATGCTATTGCACTCACACACGCGCACACACAGACACACACACACATACATATACACAGGCATTGCTACACTCCAAGCGTCATTCAAGTCAGACTGGAATAAGAATGGGAATTGTGTCATCAGGAGGGATTAACTCTAATGGAGGGATCAGAGAAGTCTTCACAGAGAGTGACATCTGGACTGGGACTTGAAGGTTAAGTGGATTCAATTGTCAGAAAAGGTGGTAAGGGCATCCGGCTACAGGGTACAGCATAAACAAAGACACGGGGTAGGGGGGAAGTGAAAGGTTGGTGGAACAGAGAGAAGATTGGTGTGCCTGGAGCATTGAGTGCCTTCCGAGGCTGAAGGGAAACCTTGGGGACAGACAGTGAGGAACTTGCATGTTGCCTAAGATGCTAACCTTTATCCTGTTGAAAGGGTGGAAGCTGAAGACTATGAGAAGGGTTAATGTACTCTGAATGGCAGGCCCATGAGATGTAGAAAGACAAGGCTGGAGGCAATATGGAAGTGGGGAGACATCTGAAGCAGCTATTTTTTACAGTCCGGAGAAGAAACGCAGGGGGCTTGAGCAAGAGCAGCCAGGAGGAGGGGAGGAAGGGGTGGCAGGTTGAATTATCGGGACTGAGTTGATTGAAAATGGCTGGTGAAGAGGAGAAAGCAAAGGTTCTCCCATCGCCCTCACTTGAGGGACTGGGCGAGTGCAGGTGCCCTTGATGAGGCAGGGGTGCAGGAGGAGATTCAGGGAGATGACTTTATTATTTATACATGTATAATTCGATTGTGCTTTAGGTGGAAGTTTACAGCACGAATTAGTTTCTCATTCAAAAGTTTATACGCAGATTGTTTTGTGACATTGGTTGCAATCCCCGCAATGTGTCAGCACTCTCCCCCTTTCCACCCCGGGTTCCTCGTGTCCATTTGTCCAGTTTTGCTGTCCTTCATGCCTTCTTGTCTTGCTTGGGGGCAGGAGTTGCCCATTTGGTCTCATATATTTGATTGAACTAAGAAGCACATTCCTCACATGTGTTATTGTTTATTTTATAGGCCTGTCTAATCTTTGGCTGAAAAGTGGGCTGCAGGAGTAGCTTCAGTTCTGAGTTAGCAGGGTGTCTGGGGCCCATAGTCTTGGGGGTTCCTCCAGTCTCTGTCAGACCAGTAAGTCTGGTCTTTTGTGTGTGTGTGTATGAATTGGAATTTGTTCTACATTTTTCTCCCACTCTGTCCAGGACTCCCTATTGTGGTCCCTGTCAGAGCAGTTGGTGGTGGTAGCTGGCACCATCTAATTCTTCTGGGCTCAGGCTGATGGAGGCTGTGGTTCATGTGGTCCATTAGTCCTTTGGGCTAATATTTTCCTTGTATCTTTGTTTTTCTTCATTCTCCTTTGCTCCAGACAGGATGGGACCAATAGATGTATCTTAGATGGCTGCTCACAAGTTTTTAAGACCCCAGACGCTACTCATGAACTATGGTTATGTCAATTGACCTAGATGTCCCCAAGACTTACGATTCCCAGCCCTCAGCCCCAACAACTCGGTCCTTCAAGGTGTTTGGATATGTGTAGGAAGCTTCTATGACTTTGCCTTGGACACCTTATGCTCACTTCCCCTATAGCGTGTATTGTCTTTAGGCAGGTGACTTTAGACCGGAGCTTCTCAGCGTCGGCACTATTGACATTTTGGGCCTAACGATTCTTAGACAGAAGAAGAATTGATGCATTCACATTGCGGTGTTGGCAGAGAATATTGAATATACCGTGGACTGTCAAGAGAACTAGCAAATCAGTCTTAAATACAACCAGAATACTCCTTAAAAACAAAGATGGCGAGACTTCAGCTACATTACTTTGGTGACATCATCAGGAAAGACCAATCACTTAGACAAGGACATCGTGTTTAGTAAAGTAGAGCAGCGGAGCAAGGGAAGCCCTCCTGAGATGGATTGACACAATCGCCACAGCAATGAACTCAAACATATCAATGATCATGAAGCTGGTGGGGACAGCATTTCGTTCTGTTATATGCAAAGTCACCATGAGTCGGAGCGGACTCGACAGCAGCTAACAACAACAATTGTTTGCTCTGGGGGCTGTCCTGTGCGTTGTAGGATGGTGAGCAGCATCCCTGCCCTCTTCCCCCTCCTCCTGGCTGCCCTTGCCCCCACTTCCACGCTGCCTCTGGAGTTGTCTTTTGAAATCTCATCTAGCCTGCCACTCAGAGTCCTGAAGACAGCCAGGTGGAACTGTCCAGTAGACGTTGGGTGTTGGGGCGTGGGAGCTCAGGAGACAGCTCTCCATCACATTTCTATAGCACCCAAGGACAAACTGCAGTGCAAGCAGGAGAAGGGAGTGATTCATTGAGGGCAGGGAGTCGGTGTTCAAGTTAACTGCTCATGGACGACTCCCTGAGTGTGCTGTGGTGTCTTGCCAGGAGAAAGAAGGTCTTGTTCATGTTGTATCCCCTCAATACTATCCCTGGCATAGTAGGTGCTCAATAAAAGCTTGGAGAATTATAGTAACTTGATTAAAGAACAGGAAAACCTAAGTAGCCTGAGAACATTGGGAGGCTGAGTGGAGGGAAGCTGGGGTCAGGGAGATCATAAGTACCCAGGACCCCTGGCTTCCAGGACCTGGGAAACCAGGATGTTTTCTGCTCTTTTCTGCTACGTGCTCAGAGTTGCTGGTAGGATTGTCAGTCGGTACAGCCTAGCACAGATGAAGATGATCATCCCTGATAACCCAGCAACCGCACTCCTGGATGGAGAAATTCGTGAACACAAACATCAGGAGAGAGGCTCCTGAATATAAAAGCAGCACTGTTTGTCATAGCAAACACCTGGAGACCACCTAAATGTCCACCCACAGGAAAATCAATGAATAAATAATGGTGTTTCAATACAATGAAAGACTACACAGCAGTGAAAGTGAATGCACTACAATGATATGCCTCAAGGGGGATGATTTTTACAATGTTACTGTTGAAGGGGGTAAAGCAAAAAGTATACATTTATGTAAGATTTACAGAAGGATGCAAAGCTACACAGTGTGTTGTTTAGGGATTCACAAGCATGTGGTGAAGTTGTAAAGAGAATCAAGAGAACAGTAAATGCAAACATTGAGATGTATTTACCTCTGAGTAGAGGAAGTAGTTACAGCTGGGGAGGAGCACCCAGGGGCTTTAAGAATTCTTACAATATACTGGTTCTTAAAATGAATGGTTAGCACTGAGCTTCTGTTAAGGCGATGGAAAAATTTGGATGTGGTGTGGAAGTGGGGAGACCACTGAAGCAGCTGTTTTTTACAGTCCAGAGAAGAAACAAAGGGGCTTCAAGGGCAGCCAGGAGGAGGGAAAGAAGGGGTGTTGATGAGAACTTTGGAAGGTTGTCTTGCAGGACTGAGCTGGTTGAACATGGCTGGTGAAGAGGAGAAAGCAAGGTTCCTCCCATCTCCCTAGCTTGAAGGGACTGGATGAGTGCAGGTGCCCTTGATGAGACAGGAGGAGGGGAAGATTTAGGGAGAAGGGTGGCAGCAGCCCAGTGGTGATGGCTGCACAGCATGGTAAATGTAATGAATGTCACTGAAGTGTACATGTAAAAAGTGTTGAAATGGCAAATGTTTTGTCATATACATACGTATACATATACATATATATGTATATATGTGAGTCCTGGTGGCACAATGGCTAAGCACTTTGCTGCTATCCAGAAGATTGGCGGTTCAAACCCACTCAGCGGCTCCTCGGGAGAAAGACCTGGCAATCTGCTCCAGTAAAGATTATAACCTAGAAAACCCTATGGGGCAGTTCTGTCACATGGGGTCACTATGAGTCAAAATCAACTCAACGGCACCTAACAACAACACTATATATATATCCCATTGCCGTCGAGTCAATTCTGACTCAAAGCGACCCTATAGGACAAGGTAGAACTGCCCCATAGGGTTTCCAAGGAGCCACTGGTATATATATATATATATATACACATATATATATGTATATATATATAATGAAACAAATACCCATATGCCACTCATTTTTTTAATTGTGGTAATAAAAATGAGTGGTTGGCATATGGGTGTTCATTTCATAATTCTTTAAACTGTACATACATTAAAAATCTAAGCACGTGCCGGTCACTTCCTCAGGGGAGAGTCCCCAAAAGCAGGGCTTACCACAACCGGAAATTCCCTGGTTCAGGGCAGGGG